TATATATATATATATATATCGTTATTCGGTAGAGCTGATGATCAATGGATTTCAAGCAAACATTGTTAATGACCTGTTATTTCTTCATTTCCAGTAATTCCGTATGGTATAGACGTTTCAGAATCGAACTACATCATTACGGTTGGCGGAAAATTTTCCTAACTTTATTGTTCATGAATGAATTAAATCGCACCAATATCTATGGGTTGTTTCATTGGTATCCCTAGTCACAGCCTCGGCTTGTAAAGCCACTTGTTTGTATGTAACAAGTTTGTATGTACTAAAAATTTGGCTGGTAGCTGTTTTTAAGTATAATCGATGCATATTGCATTGAGGACTCATTACGAAAATACCAAAGTTGCAGAGGATGTTCTTTCTTTATTGCATTTCTGGAATTCCATTTGATTTTGTCATGCTTTGATTCCCATGCATTGATTTTGTTAATAAGTTGGCTATAGACCTGACCTTTGAATAATGTTAGCTGTATTTAGGTGAAGATTATTAAAAGTCGTCAGCAATAATACGAGACATTCTTTCACTACTCATGTGGACGGTGTCAATTTACATCTGTAGACGCAATACTATGCTGGATCATCTGGAATGAAGAAATAACAAGCAATTAACAGTCTTTTTATGTCAACTGCATAGATCTTTATAGTCTCAACGTATAAATATATCTAGGGATTTATGTTAATTAATATAGTTATCGTATTATTATTTTGCCTTTAATTACACTTTTCAGCTCCCCCCCCCAGGATGCAAATTATTTAATGTATGTAAGCGCAGAGTTTAAGAGAAAAGCTTTTGATAGCCATCGTTGACCGATAATTTTGTTACGACTTCTATCTACTTGATTGATTTATTGGCTTTCGCTCCGTAAGACGGTGCATTCTTAACTTCATTGACCGAGTTAAAAATAGACTTATGATAATGCTAACAAACAAACTAATTTAAGTTAAAATAGCACACCGAATAATGATTATTGGAGGGGTCAGACAACAAGAATAAGCGTAATATTTGTAAATTGTAAAAGCGTAATTTGTAAATTGTAATAGCGTAATGTTTGTAAAATCTATTTACAAATGTTACGCTGATTCTTTTTGTTTCTTTTTCTTTCTGTTTCTTTTTTGTTCTTTTCGTTTCTCTTCTTTTTTCTTCTTCTTTTTGTTTGATTTCTCCATAAACAAACTAAAGCCAATGTAAAGTTACCTAAGATAAGTTTCTTCCACAAATACGTGGATTGAAAATTTTTTCTTCGTAACACCGCATTACCTCACAACAGTTTGTTTGTTTTGCAGATATTTAGGGTCTAAGAGAAAACTTATGTAGGCTCGTACTCCTTTGTAGATTATATTTAAATTTGATTTTGAATGTCTGTTCTACTTTTCCCCCAAGAAGCGGAGATTATGTTATATTATTGTAGCAGTTTGCGTAATCGTCACGTTCATTTGACAATTGACAGTTTTGATTGAAGTCTTCATGGGAGTTTGTGTTTGTTGCACTTAGAAGTCTTCATGGGAGTTTGTGTTTGTTGCACTAATGTGTTTATTGCACTTAGAAGGTAGGAAGGAGCGAAAAGTCATCCACCTACCTTTACTCTTCCAAAAAAGGCATTTAATGCAGTGTAGAAAAAAAAATAATTGCATTAATAGTCACTCTGTGAAAACCCTAGCTTAAATTCGCGTATTATATGTGCTCTTTCTGAAAATGTCGAGCAAGATTTAAAACGGCGGCTTGCAAGAGGCAGGCTTTTTACCCATAATCCGAACCAATGTTTAGTTTCGATTTATCTTCGTGTATAAATGCTAATGATGTATTTCGTGAATGATGCGTAGATAGTATTAATCTTCTTATATGAGTTTCATTTATATGTTGTTGTTTTATTTATATTTATATAAATATTTATATATTCATTATGGTTTTAAAACCGCATCTTTCAGAAATAAATTATTTGCATACTTTTCTCATCTCAATTTCCGGATAATAAAATTAGTATAAAAAAGAGGAAAACATTCTAGGAAATAAAATATGAAGGTTTAAAGTTATGCAAGCAAAAATATTAATTAATATAGCCAACTCTTTCCTCTTTACACCTACATATTTTAATACATTCTGCACCGTTATTAAATTTTATAAATGTATGAAATTTTGTAGAAGAGCTGAAGAAAATAAGATGCATAATAAAATTTGCTCTTGTATTATTACTAAATGGATAGTCCCAATAACCATTTCCAGAAAATTTTTTATTTATTCAAATTTTGACGATTGCATAACAATAGCACCTTCACATTTTTATAAAGATAAGATGCATTTTGCTAAAAATAAAGTCAAAAGAAAGAATGAAGTACAAAAATTTCAAAATTTTCGATTCATATAATTAAAAAAATTTCTTAAACATTTTACTACCGATATGCAGTTCACATTCACATAGTCCTGTTTCTTTTACTGGAGCTCCACAGTAAAATAAAATAAAAGAGCCCTTTCGTGCCTATTTTTTATAGGAATGGCACTGGAATGTTTGAGCTGGCAAGTGGTAAAAGACTGCAGAAACAGAGGTGACATTTATCGCCCACACATCACGTCACCAAAGTATTCTAGTTGTGTAGAAAGAATTACCTAAGATACAGACTCCTTGAAAATTCATGTTTAAATTTGTTTGGTATTTTATTTGTATATCATTTATACGAACAAATATCACTATGTAAAGGCCATAGCTAATGAAAGTTTTATTTGCTTCTGAATTAAAAGATCTGCGCAGAAACGTTCGCTACTGTTTTAACAGCAGATAAATTAAATTTTCTACCCCCCGCCAGGTTTTATTGCTTAAGGTATCAGTAATTTTATTTTGTAAGAGTTATGATATATTTGAAATTTAAAATCGAGTTCAACTTTATAATATAGAATTTCACAATTTTTTCTATTTACAGGAAGATGCATAGTATACATTTCCCTTTTATAAAACGAAAAAGGTACATTTTATGTTCAAATAACCATCACTGCAGTTCGCAATTTAAAAGAGCAGAATATTCAGTTTTTTTAAAACTTAAATAAGAGTAACTATCTAGAATATGGTTTTAGAAAATTATAACTTTTACAGATCGAACACCGTAAAGTTGGACATTTTTGCTTAAAGGAAAGCGTTAGTTTTCGAATCTACAAGTTAGGTATAAAGTTTTGCACAAATTAAAAAAGTATTATCACTGTGAATTCTTCTATAAGTTATGCGATTTTAAAAAGGAATGAAGTTTTTAGGTGCAATAATCAGAAACTGAGAGAAATATTAAAAAACTGGTGGCAATATTTAAAGATTACAGATATGGGTTGGCAAGACAAAAATTACATGCACTTATAAATTTCAGAAGTTAAAGCCAAGCTTATTTTCTATAATACCAATAAATATATCTTATAGGTTAAAATAAAATTAATTTGCTAATTCATATTTGTTAAATTCTAGATAAAATATGCTTACTTTTTATAAGGAGAGGAATATGTGAAAGATATATATATGTATATCAGAAATCTACTCATTAAAGATCATTCCTGTAAGTTTATCGTAAGCATGAGGTCAAAGTTTAGCTGAAATATTTCCTTTGTTTCCTTGAGTACTCACTTAACCGATGAATTTAATGGCTCTTTTCATGAATCACTAAATAATACGCTGTCTAATTCTTCATTTTTTATGTTATTAAAAAGAGCAAAACTCTGGCATAATGAACTAAATTTGCCCTCAACTTTAAATTTCTCTTATAGTGGCTATTTCAAGTCTTAATAAATCATATTTTATGCCTTTGAATTCTATTTCACTTAAGCTTAAAAAAGAAGAAAGTATAATTTACCACAAAATGTATTAAAGACTTACTGCTACAAGATCATCATTACTTTTTTTTTATTTCCCATATGCCAATAGTTTTATAACCACTTTATCGCTGATTTTTAACTAAATAAATTATGAAAGTTTAGTTTTCATGATTTTAGATGTAACTTAATTGAATAGATATGTATATACCAGAGGTGGCCAAAGTGCGGCTCGCGAGCCTGATACGGCTCTCGCATTCAATTTGTGTCACACAAATTGCCTGCGAATGAAATATGGTAAACTAAAACTATTCAGTGTCCAAAAGGAAGTAATTAATGTAATTAATTAGTTTAGACTCTTTTTACAAAGTCAGGATTCTTTCTATCAAACCTCTCCATACTTGTATAATGATGTAAATATGAACTTGTGGCTTTTAGAAAATCTTGATGCGGCTCTCGAACATTCCTGAATTCAAACGTGAGCCAAACGAATTTTGGCCAACCCTGGTATATTCAATGGAATCTGGACACTCCAATTTACCGATCACTCCTCATTAACAGACAGTTACTGAATTCTCATAGTAGGTGATTAATGCACTCCCATTCAGTGCTAACGGACAAAGCCCTAGACTCGTAAATATCCGCTGATGGGAAGTTCAGCTATATTCCCATGTGACTTTCTGATTGGTAAAACAACATACGTAAAGAACTTGCCATTATATTCTTTTCCACAAAATTACTCACCAAAAAAAAGTTTATAGTTTAGATTAATAAAAACTGTAAACTCTCTTTCTTTATTATAGTTGCTATATTTGTTAAAAATTACAAAGTTCAGAAGATACTGTTTAAACAATCAATCTTTCAGATCCTCCTATCCTTATCCTGCTATCCTGTCTTTGAGAAAAGCAATGTCGATTCAATACTTCGTTGTGCTTGAATAGAATATTTAGATAATATAAGACTCTGAATATGAATAAACCTGTCCAAGTAGTTTAAAATATATGTCCTGAGTGTTAAAGTTAAAAATTTTGAACGGAAGAAAAAAAATGTGTCTGAAAATACTGCAAAATTCCTTAAGACTAATTTAAAAAAGTTAGTTTTAATATCATTCAAATGCCTATACGAGTTTTGATGCGGAATTAACAATGTTTATTGACCTTTTTTGTTTTTACTTTGTTTTTGTTGTTAATAGAATATGCACTTACTTGCTTCCTGAGATTTCCTGTGGCAAATCTCGTATTTCTGATGGGATCGGACCTCCGGTCAAAAACTGACAGACTTCCTGACTAAAGCAATTGCAGTTGTGCTCCAACAAGTTGTAGGAACCAGGTCTATATAAGAACGATAAGAAAAATTTCGTTTTATTAGTATTGCTACGTTCATTCACTAAGAATTTATCTATTTTTAACAATACTATTTTTTTAGTTACGAAAGTCATCATTGAACATGTACTGCCAAACCGCCAAAACTGTACTTTCGTTTCGCTTTAATGGCAATTAAAAAGCTCAGAAATTTTAAGAAATGTTACAGTAGTCTATGCTTTCCACAGAAATTATTGCTAAAGATGACAGTTCTCAGCTGTATTTCTCGAAATATTCAGAGCTTTTTAATTACTAGTATTATTTACAAATATCGAAATTAGCCAACTATTTAATTTTAAAGTTAGCTTGCTAATCTTGGACCGCTTACTGAACTTTTTGTTTGATCATTTCAGCCGTACGTGCGAAGAAAGTGAAACCTGAAAGGACATTAGATAAATCCAAGAAAAAGACATTAAGAGTGCATGGGACATTTGGTTTCAAAATAAGCACCTTTTACAGAGATAAAAATTAAAAAAATTCGAAACACAGACGACAGAAAATGAGCATTTAATACTGAGGTCTAAAAATAAGGTCGGAAGTATTTTAATCTTTGAAGAAAGATTACATGATCAAATAACTTCACGTCAAGATAATTAACAAACGTATAGGAAGCAAAGTTCGACTTAGTGTGCTCATTTCATATTGAAAAAGATGTTGATAGCTTCAGATATAGAAATACATGCATTTTATTTCAGAAATAAGTATACATAAAAAACATTATCTACGTATCTACTTAATGCATTTTTGATTAGAACATGTTTAGCTGAAAATTAACGTATTAATACTTGAAGTTTATACATTAATTTCGATGAAACGTTAATGAATTTCTCAAAAATAACTCTTTTCAATTAGATTTCATTTTTCTTGGGGGAGAGAGGAGCATAGACTTTGTGGCTCGAATGCAAATGGTGTTAAAGGAAGTTGATAATTTTACTGATTTATGTATAGGAACACTGAGGACTATAAAGGAAAAAAATAGGAAGTGTAGTAGAGTGCCGACTTCGCTAAAGAATCATTATACAGTACAAAAGCTAATGCAAAGACTGCGTAGCTATTGTAAAGCGTTCAAAGTATGACCAAACTTAGAAAAATTATTAGTGTCTTTTCTACAGTTTATTTTTGTGAGTATATTACCTGCGAAGACCTTCATCAAAACAGAAGAACTTGAAATACATATGCCATTCAGAATCATGCTTTAAAATAATCTTCAGAAACTCCCTCAAATTCTTCCCCTTTTCTTCATTATATTTTGAAGAAACAATGTGCGCATTTATAGAGCTACATCTTTATATAGATATTGGGATGTAGTTTGTACTTAGTTTTTATTCATTTTACTCTTTAATTATTTTTTAAACTTTGATTCGCTTTGATTTGATTGACTTTGATTAACTCCTTAATTATTTTTTAAAACATGATTTTCATTTCATGTGCCAGCATGAAAAGTGTTCATCACTACTCACGTGATGCAATGAAAACTGCAAACTTATCTCTCTTAACTCTTTTTCTCTTAAGCTTCTTTCTTTGTATACAGGAGTTAGACATTAAATCTGAAACACTTGGCGAATATAGTCCTTGACTCGCAAGTTAGCATGTACACTTCTAATTGGCAGCCGTGAATGATTTCGAGTTTTATTTACAGCAGCAGAATATGAAATATAAGAATTCAGAGCTATTGAAAGAATGCAACTATTGAGAATAACAGAACATAATTAAGAGATATATTGGAGTTCAAAAGAATATAAATTGTTGATATTCATCTGGTCATACTTGTTGTAAAGATATTATGTGATGCTTCGAGAATTATAGTATCCAAGATCAGAAGACAGAATTTCATTTAATCGGAGTAACTGCCGATGCAAAATAAAGTTAGGTGAGAAAGATATCAGAATAATTGTATCCAAAGAAAAAAGTAAAGTATGGAATTAGTAAATTGTGGAAAAGCTCAGGACCCCCATTATTTGTAAAGAATATCGTTTGGTGAGAGCTTCATAGGCTTAAAATTTATGATCGGGTAGCTGTAATAAAGTTTATGATAATCAGTGTCCATGTTAAATGCTGCTTTCAGTGATGACAGAAACGCAAAATTGGGACTATAAACAACGTAAAATGTAAACTCTTCAGCGATTTGTGCATATTCCTTCCATTTGGGAAGACATTTTATGTGTGAAGAATTTTCCTATCCGTATTCTCTCCTCTCGAGCGTGAAATATGCAGGTGGATTGGTGTTGACTTCACCCTCAAAACCACAGAAGTCTTTGAGGCGACTTATCTTTCTTGATGGTAACACCATTGTAAAGGACTCTCGATGTATTCAAAAGAACGCTATGAATCATTGGTTAACTTATTCAGAAGAGAATGCTCTGTATTAGGATATTAATACCCCAGTTCACATAGCAAAACTTGTGATGAAATGGTTTGAAACATATTAAAACGACTTCAGTATTTTTTCATGGCTTCCACTTTTAATGACAATACAAGGCATGCAACTGCCATTTCCAAGAAGAATCTCTGCAATATAATACGCCAAACAAAGACCTGCACCCTGTTAATTAAGCATTATGCTCACAATGCTGGTGTTTCGATGCCATTGCCCAACTCTTGTATAATTTCCTAGACAAAATCTCTACACCATTAATTTTCTAGAATGCCGTACATTTTAGAATTAGATGAGTAGTTCACTGTTTTCTTAACAAAACAATAAAAAATAGTTCAAAACGTAGAGTAATTTAGATGCATGAGTGTATTTAAATTTACAAGATTGTGCAGAAAAATCATCCAATTTCACATTTTAACAAATTCAAAAATTAACTAAAGAGAATGATAAATAATAAATGAATTAAAAAGAAAAATATCTAAATTTGTATTACACATTTCAGTCTGACTTTCTCAGTTGTTTAATTTGATTTCCTGTAGTTGTATGTATAATATCAAGTCGATATGAAAATTCTTGTAAATACATCAAAATATGTCTACGATAACAGTTTCTGAAACAAACAAACAAAAAAAAAAAAAAAAAAAAAAAAAAAAAAAGAATTGAAATTTTTTAGTTTGGTTAGGCTGACTGGCTTAAGTGAGGCTTTCACATACCTGCAAAGGAAGAAATCATGAGAACAAAATCAGCATCTAAAACCCATTTTGATGAACTTTAAATACTACAAGGGTTTTCTGCTGAACGTTTACTGTGGAATTCTCTAGTACTTAATATTTAAAAAAATTCTTGTAAAGTCCTTGGGATTTTATGTTTATTTGCCACTTAGATACTTTATCATTTTCCCTTTACTGTTCTTTTGCCGGCTCTCGCTAGGATGATTACGACAGCTGTCATTAACCATCTGATAAATATTTCTTCTAATTTTTAAGTAACTTGAATCGGCTTTTAAAAAACTATACTTTCATAAAAATATGCGAGCACTTACTCTAGTCATAATTACTCGGGAAAATTTGAAAGCCTGCGCCAAAACTTAAAGACGAGCTTATGTCTCGACAATCTCATATTTGAATATTTAATTTTACTCTAACTTTTTTTCTGTTATTCCCGCAAACTGGGGAGACTATTTCTGTTATTATAATATATGTGACTGTGAAGCTGACGAATTAATAAAAAAGTTTATTTTAAATCCTCTCCTGGGTTGGAATTACTTTACCTGAAGAATAAAACGAGCCTAAAAGTCACCAGTGTGAGTCTTCATCGATCCAAAGTTAGGATTCATACAATCTGCTACTTATAAATCATATATAACTGAAATTTTAAAATTTCCTTAGGTTAAAAAGGTTGTATGTTTTGCATAGCTTCTTAACTGTGTATAAACAGAATAAAAGACGCAAAACTGTAATAACACATAAAATCATTCAATAAAAGTAATATGAAAGTTAACTTTTTAATGAGAAAAATCATTTTCCCCCATAACACATTTCTTCAAATTTTTGTTTGAAGCTAGAAAATTATAATTGCATATATTGTGTTGCTGCTACGGAATATCAAATGCCATTTCTTATATATGCAAGAAAAATATACTGTGTCATAAATAATTATAGATAAAGAGCGACGAAAAATAAGCTACTCCCTCAGAAGAATTAAAGAATCCTTCCAAAAGATAATAATTTATTGCAAGAAATTTATGTTTCTTTCCTAATTTTGTAAACACTGATTTAAAGAAAAAAAAGTTTAAGCTTCATGTCATTATAAGCGGCATTCTAAACTATAATTCTTACTACAATAAACGAATGTATTATGCACATAGAAAAGATTGTAATTTCATCAAAGAAAAACAATTCCTAACAGCGAAAACTATTTAAGTTAATCAGATCTTGTTATCCAAAAATGCAAAGAACGACTCATTTTCAATTCATACAGGCTGACCAAAATGTTTGCAAAAGATTACATTCATCTTACAATCAACAAGGCAGTTTATTTACAGCTTATAACTCTGCGTAGCGCTTATGAGAGATTTACTAAAAGAAATATTTTATAGATATAAAATTTCACTTTTTTCTTCAGTGCGTATTTCAAGGATGACGAATTTTTGCAATAAATATGTGATAAAATAAAATAATCAATATATAAAATAAATACAGGCTCAACCGTAAGTTTTCGTAAATGACAATCTTGTTTTCCTCAAAACCCTTTAGGAGAGGGAAGCGCAGGCGATGGCTAGAGATATGTCAGTTCTGGGAATTATACTCATCATAGAACTGCATGATATGTCTCTTGGTTCTCTTCTCTGAAGTCAATATTAAGATATATGTCCACTGAGTGGCAAGCCATTTAGCTCATAAAAGATTAAGAGTCAGGAATTGAAAAAAGGAAATATGCTTTGTTTAGTGATATGGATTGTTTACAATGAAAACTTATTTCTGCTAACTGAGAATGAGAAAGCATGCATTTTCATGAATCATGAAAGACCTATCCTGGTACTGAATGAGTTAGTCTTGTGGGAAAAACCCTGGGTAGAAGAAAAATTTTAGGAATCTTAAACTTTCTCCCGATAACTTTTTATGGGGTATTTTAAAGGATATGTATATAAAATAATGCCCACTTGAAACTAAATACTTGTAATATTTTGAGATAGCCGAAATTACGCTCGGCTTGCATCAGCGTGGCTTTCAAAACCTACATGCTCGGTTGCATTAACGCTCAGCGTATGCAGACGGACATCTTGATGATATAAATTTTTTTAAATAAATTCCCGGAATGTTTATTCTATTAAATGAAAGCCTGATAAGATAACTTACCACACACTTTTTATTTGGTTTCTAAAAGTGAAAAAAAAATTATGGCCATTCTACAGTTCTGATTCCTTTTTCGCTTAGAAATGTGAATATTGTCACAAAATATCAGTTATATTAAAGTCTCTTATTATCATTGGCTTTCGGAAAACATTACTGAGAAACATCGCTTTAGCTGCATAAGTATTCATGGAGAAAATGAGAAGTACTAACCTGTAAGTACTCTCTCCGAGTGCGAAGATGTACTCTAGAAAGACACTGTATGGAAGCTCTGTTTTACCAAGAGTCAAAATCTGATCTGGTTCACCTAGTATCGTCTCCCCCTAAAAATACAGAATATTACTGAACCATGAATTAGGAAATAAAAAAATAAACCTTATTTTACGCAAGAATTATTTTTCATGACAGCCATTGTGGTTTGTTACTAATTTCATCAGTAAAAAGTACACATTTAAAATAAGCTTAATTAAAAACATAAGATATATTAACTTTAAAATACACTTTTTATCTTAAAGCTGAAAATAAAATTAACATTCAGTTGCAATGAAGCTCTGTTTTTGTAGCTAATAAAATATTTGACAGCAGGAAATTTACTGCTCTGGAAACTTTTAATCCATTTAACTGCAAAGAAACGATTTTACTCTCATACATTTTTCATCTTACTTAGTCCATTAACTTATTGTTTGATCTATACTATCACTTCTAGGTTTCATCAGCTATTACCAGGATGCAAATTAGATACTTCTACACTGCTCAAAAAAAAAAAAAAAAAAAAAAAAAAAAAAAAAGGGACAGTGCTTATATCTCCCGTTCTACTGGGCCGATTGACAAAATTCAAATTGCGTTTTTAAATGTCTCGAAAGCGCGACTTAGGATATATAATTAGATTTATATATAGCACTATGCTAACATAGGTTTTGACAAAATCGGACTTTTTCTGAAATAACATACCAATTTTTTTTACATATTTTTCGATTCTACAACTGAAATTACGCCTAAATAGAAATTTGTAAAATTTGGAGCGAAATTTATGGAGAAATTTCACAAAATTTATATGGCATTTTTTTTCCAGTTTGCGCCAAGAATAGTTCACTTGGCGAACTTCTTAATATATGGCAACCTAGTTTCCTTTCCCGTGAGAGGAAAAAAGTCACCATCGTTCCTTTTTCCAAATAATATTCTTTATATTATATCTTTAATTATAACTTATTATTTTAAGTAATTTTTTCTTTTTTCGAATTTCATTTTAATTGTTTAAGTTGCATGTTTTTTTTTTTTTTTGAATAACTGTTTAAAAAATTTCTATTTACCTATTCGAACTGCGTAAATAAAGGTGCAGCGTTCATTTTTTGTTTTCAAATACTTTTCTTTATATATATTTTTTTGTCGTAGTTATTATTTTAGGTAATTTTAAAATGTTTATTACTTTTATTTCAATTGTTTGTGATTGCATTGTCTCTTTCAGATAATTGTTTTAAAATTTTCTATGTATTCCTTCGAGCTGACCATTTTAAATATATTTATTAAAGAAATTTTCCAGAATTTGGTTTTATTTATTTGAATTGCGTTTCTTTCGGAAGAATACTTTGTAACCCAGACTACGATGCGTTTGAAAACTGCATATATTAAAAGAGAAAATACAGTAAAGCACAGTTAACACGTCTTTCAATGTTCCGTTCAGAAAAGATATATATAAATAAGAGAGATGTACAACCAACATTTTAAATTAGGATGACTTGCATACACTGCTTTAAACAGTTTTATCATTGTGCCCATTGCTTTACACAATTTTATCCTACATTTGGTTTCTTAAAATGTTATTCATATTTTAGTCAAATATTTTATTTCTGAAATCGCAAGAATCAAATATCATAAGATTAAAAGGTTTTAAATTAAAAAAAAAAATACTAATACTAAATTTTACGCAAAAATTTATTTTTTCTTCTCTTTTTCTTCAGGTATTCTACTTTATTTTTGGTCTTTTTCTTTAGGCATTCTGCAAGTATATTAAAAAGCATACAACTTTTCGAAATATCTTGATATTTCTGACAATCATTTTGAATAAAGTTATTGCCTTCCATTTCATAAAAGCCCACAAACGGCCTAGCGGTAAAGTCGCTGAACACTGGTAGTTCACTCCGGGGTTCGAATCCCGGTAAACAGGCTGGTTGCATGGGCGTTTTCGTAGATTTTCTCATGTACGCCGTGTATTGACAGCTGGTTTCCCTTATAAAGTTCTTCACGAAGTATTTCGTCAGAGCCTTTATCAGTCTTTAGAAGCTAAACATTTTGAAGGTATGAGATGAAAGGAAAGACTGGTTTCCTCAAGAGGTTTTGGTTTATTTAATTATGACAAAGCACACAAGGGATATCTGCCTAAGGGCAGGGATGCCTTCGTGCAGGACTTTCTAAGGGAAACTGGCTCGCATACACGTTACACTTGGAGAAAACCACGAAAACGCTCATGCAGCCAGCCCGTTCGCGGGATTAAAATCTCGGACCGAACTACCAGTGTTCAGCGACTTTACCGCTCGGCCGCTGTTTCATCAGGAGGGGAAAAAAACGCCTTTAGGTGACATCCACATACAATGCTGGATAAACTCCTGAATCTTCGAATAATTCGACTGAGAAAATCATGGGATTCTCTATTTATGATACGATATGATGTTCTATAACGTAATTTAAATTTATACAACCATATAGTTTAAAACCAGTCTCTCTTCACTTTAATCTGCAATGATATCGTTTTTGTCTTTTCTGCTAACACAAGCTCATTTGATGGTATTTGATGGTGTACACGTGAAAGTGTTTTCTCTTTGAACGCCTGAATTCTTTGAAGTATCCTGAAAGTATATTCAAAAGCGTCCAACTTTTTGAAACATCTTAGTATGTCTGACAGCCAAATTTTCTCTGCAAATTTTTGCTTACTTTTCTTCCTAATTTTATTCTTCCGTTCTACAGTTATTTTCAGTGCTCACACAAGAAAATTACGATTTTAGATTGCTAGACTTCCATAAATTTTGCATTCTTGTCAATTTTTTAAAATATCAATTACATGAATTGCGTTTTAGCTGAAGACAGCTTTTCATTTTCTAGTCATTTTTACTATAAATAAAGTTTAAAGCGAAGTCCAAGGATAAATATTTAATTAAAGATTTTTGCTAAATGACAAAAAATAAAACAGTCTAGCAGGGCTTATTCTGTACCACCGAGTAACTTGATTCTTATATCGGTCTGAAACAATCTAAATCATATTAAAGATCATGTTTTTTTTATACAATCTAATACGCGAGAGAAAATTAGCTTCTTAAAACATTCTTTCTAAGAGTATTATATAAAAGGTTATATTTATATATATATACTTTTAAAGCTGGGACTTGAACCAAACTGTCAAACTTTTAAAGTTTAATTTACATGGTGGTTATAATTAAAGTTCGAGTTTGAAATGGGCATAAAAGGAAAACTACCAGACCAAATGTTATCAAACTTGGGGATCGTGTAAAGGAAGTTATGAGAATTTATTTTCCGCGGAATAAAAGAGTTCAAAAACTCACCACCAGGAGAAAAATGGCGCTGTATACAATATTGTTAAATGAAATAAGACACGAAAACATCTGTTTAAAATGTGTTTAATATTTTACGAAACGTGTTACAAAGCATGTTCAATGTAGCGTCCAGCATTTTCCGAAAGCAAGTTAGTAAATCCTGTTACTGCATTCTCAACAGCAGCTCTTAGCATATCAGGAGGAATATTACGGACATGTCAGTGTATCACATTTTTCATTTCTGCCAAATTGTTTAGATTATCACCATAAACAGTGCTTTTGAGATAACCCCATAGCCAAAAGTCACAGAGGTTGAGGTCTGGTGAGAAGAGGGGAAGTGTTGGCTTATAAGACGTTCATTCGTGAAATATTGCCTAAGTAACTGTGCGACACACGTGAGGTGGGGTCCAGCCCTGCATAAAAATCGTAGTATCTAAAATGCCACGTTACTGCAGTTCATGTATCACGAAACATTTTAACATTGACTCTAAGTGAGCTGCAATCACAGTGGTCCAGCTATCGACTGCTCTTCAGAGAAAAATGGTCCAGTTATCTTCCGAGAAAAATGGTTCAGTTATAAAACTAGCTGTCATTCAACACTAAACGGTGTGGAATGACTGCTATGCAATCGAATGCCGTAGGAGAATGCAATGGAACTAGATAGATAACATGAAGGATTTCGTTGGCCCAAACCGATTAAAAGCGTTTTGAATCAGTCAGTATCTTCATGTTTTAGTGCCGAATTCAGGCTTCAAAAATTACAAATTAGCGATCTGTAAGAAAACGATTTCCACTAATTCGTGGTTTTCACGGACGAATTTCTCACTTACACGGATGGCGCACTCGACTTTTATCGAATATAACGCCTTTAAATGGTAATTTGCCTACTTCAAAGTTTCTTTAGGGTATACAACATATTAAACCCGTGTAACAAAAGATTAAGTTAGATTCCGACCCATATTGTGTTTAACAATATTGCATACAGCGCTATTTCCCCACAGGTGGTGAGGTTTCGAACTTCCATTTTTTCCTGGAAAATAAATTCCTATGACCTCCTTTATACGATTGATAACATAAGCTTGATAACATTTGATGCAGTAGTTCTCCTTTTATGACCGTTTCAATGTAGAACTTTAATTATAACCACTCTGTATATTATTAGATTTTAATTTGAAGCTATGCGTTATATGTATACCATGCGTAAATTTTTCGCTTTTATGGAAAAATAAAGAATCGAAGCAAATATAGTTAGGATAATGGACCAAAACTGAAAAATTTCCCCTCCCTCCAGAAATAAAATATTGAAACTTCGACCTTGAATTTATTGGGTAATCGAAATATTTAATTCGACTTATCTTCTAAGTCCTAGTTCCGACAACAATTCCGTCGAAAATTCCGAATTACTTAGGCTGAAGTAAAAGATTTAGTATATATTCACTGTATGTTAATAAAGTAATCAGAGTGTAATAAAAATAGATTATAGAATTTACGCTAATGCAATTTTTTTCCGAAATGCACAACATGTAATGGAAGAGAAGGCTTGTAGAGATCTGTTTTTTACATGCCTCTAAAAGTAGATGTCATACTCCTTTTATCTCTTCAATGTCAAAAAACTTTCCATTGAGAGGCAACTTTAGTTTTTGGGAAAGAAAAAAAATCACAAGAAGACAAATTTGAAGAACATGCAGGACGATTGAGTACACAAACTTACTTTTGGAACACAAGCGGTTCTCCGACTGGTTATTGAATAATGAAAAGATGCATTGTCATGCTATACA